ACTACTATAACACTAATGATGAAGTTGTCAAAAATAGAGAAACAATGTAAACATGTCTGTTCTACACTATTTATCAACATGAAGAATTAATCAAGACAACTTCATACAATCACATAATAGATAAACAAAACATCTAATTAACCATTCATAAATTCAAACTTGAGTTCCATTGAATCAGACTACAAAGGACTCTACTCAGACATAATTGAAATACAAACAAAGGAAGAAGAAAGATCAAACTCCATTGTCATGATAGTAAGTCTTCAATCTTCAAGTGCAATTACATATGAAACACTAACTAATACAACACTACTCCTAAGAATTTTGAAAGTAAGAGAGATAAGTCAGATCAGAGGATCTGATATATGAGAGAGAGATGTGATGGATTCCCTTTTAGAAATGTGAAGGCCCTTGCCTTTTATAGTGTTACAAATTACAACTGAAAACTAACATGGGCGTTAAAACGTTCTATATGGGCGTTTTAGCGTCCATGTTTGACGGATGTCCAACAGCTTTCAACTAACTTGGGCGCTAAAACGTGCGTTGTTGAACGTTTTAGTGTCCATGTCTGGTGAATGCTCAACTGCTTCCAACCAACTCCAACGCTAAAACACTTGGCTTGGACATTTTAGCGTTTGAGACCACAGTCTTTTTGCAGCAGCAGGGCGCTAATACGTTTGGTCCGGGAGTTTTAGCGTCAAAGACCAGCAACTTTTGTCCTTAGTTTGCAGCAGCGCGCTAAAACGTTCTGTGTTGGACGTTTTAGCGCTCGACACCAGCAACTTTTGCCTTCAAATTGTAGCAGCGCGCTAAAACGGTCTGTGTGGACGTTTTAGCGCTCAACACTTAAGCATTCTCCCTTTCTCCAGAACCTTCTTTTTCTCTCTGCTGCTCCTTGAGCTTCTTTTTCAACAAAGCTTTCAGAACTTACACTTGAGGGATTTCCAGGACATTAACCTCTTTTTCATCCAATTAATCACACAAAGTAATACAAATTCATGCTAAAAAACCTGATGAACTAGAGTTTTATCATATTCCTAGAAAAATATCTAAGTCAAGGATATCAAGTTTGGGGTAAGAATAATGAGCAGAGATGTCTGAACTAATATCGGCTATGTATAAAACGTCTATCAATGAAGTGTCTCAAAAAATTAATGTAAATATATGATAATTCCTAGAAAAAAGTCTAAGTTAAGGATATAAAATTTTAGAGTTAAACGAAGAACAAAACTAATTAAACTAATATTATTAGTTAAGTGTGTGTACCTGTATATAGTTAATGACACAAAACCCTAGAGTTTCTAACACATGTTAGCTGCCTCCCTTCAGTGCATGGCTGATGGGTGTCTCTCCTTGGTGTCTCCATTAATGCTTGCCATTTTCTCATTAAAACTCATCAAGCTTTCATCTTTTTTCCATTCCTACACCATGAAAACATCCCCAACCCTTTGAAGTTTAAGTTTTGTTGAAGAAAACACTGCCTTGGGGGGAGTTCTGCTTCTGTTTTGGCATTAGGTAGAGAGCCACCATCTTTCTTCTTAGTTGAGAGCTATTTTCCATAATTGGGAGCTTCAAGGAACCAAACTTGAAGAGAAAGAACCAACCTTTCCTTGTGATTTTCGTGCACCATTTGGACAGTGGCTTGGAACATCTTCAAAGTCCTCAAAGTTCCATCATGTTTCTATTTTCACAAGCCCTAAGGTAACCTATCACCATTTCCTTTGTAAATTTATGAACAAAGCTTGTTCTGAATCTTTAGAAAAGGGAAACTTTGATGATTCAAGTAAAAGTTTGTTAATTTAAGTGTAATACGGTAGTTTAAACTTCTGTTTGTGGGTAAATTGAAGGTGGGAATCTTAGGAGGCGATTGGAGCTTGAATTATGTAGAAAATCTACATTTTCTCATTCTGCACAGGTGGTAATCGATTACCTTAAAGTGGTAATCTATTACCATGAAGGGTAATCGATTATCCCGTGTATGGTAATCGATTACATATTGCAAATGTGATAATAACACATTAGTTTGGTAAAATCGCGATATCTCGAGCTACAAAGCTCCAAATTGAGTGAGATTTGGACCTATGTGAAGCTAACACATAGGGCTACAAACTTGTAAAATTTCATACCCATTGGAGAAGTGTATTGATGGAAGGTTTAGTTTGAATTCGCAACTTGGTTGCAAGAAATTCAGTTGCACCAGTCACCTTACAAAAAACATAACCAGAGTTATACAACTCCGATTGAGACTTAAAGTATGTCATTGGAAAGCTTGCGGTGTCTAGTTTAACATAGTAAAATCTTATGATATTTGGTAAAGATATGAAATTTCAGTCTTGAAAATGGTAAAGATAGTTTAGTGCTTGTGGCTTCGGAAAGAGTCCGCAGAAAGCAAAACGTAAAAGAAATAATGTTCCTTTTAAATATGAAAAAACTATGATATGTTTATTGATAGTATGAATGTTATGAAAACATATTTGTGAGCTTGCTGGACACTGTTGTTACTTGTGACCCTATGGACACCGAGTCGTGAAGGAGGGTTTAGCTTGACAGATAAGGTTCTGGTCCTCGGATTGTTCCACCAACCTCCATGGGAGGGTGATTTATGCGCATGGTATGCTTTTATGAAAATGATATATGCATTGTTACAAGCCTGAGATATGTGGATATGCCTGTTGATGTAATGTATGGATGTGATGTAGGGTACTTACACGATCAGGCAGCGACCCTGGTGTGTAAGGCATGAGGCAACAACCCTCATGTTTTGGTAGGTTGCAGACGTGGATAATGCCTATCCTGTTCTCTGGCCAGTTGAACCGAACTTGCATACATCACATGAGATATAAACTGTGGTACATGATTTTCTGAGAATTTAGATATATTGTCTCGATTGTATTGCTTTAACATGAACATGCATTGTATTTAGTATTTTGAACTTATTATATACTTGTAAGTGAGCTTGGGGCGGAAGAGTCCTTGAGGACCCTTTGTCTTACTGAGATTTCTGTTAGAGATCTCACCCCTTCTGGGGCACATTTTCAGGTACAGTTACTTCTGAGGTTGAGACCTCTGGTGGCAGGTGGCCGGAGTTGAGCTGATATTATGCATGTTTCTTTGTTTCTATATATGGATATCTTTCTGCCCTGTTTTTCATATATGCCTATTGTACTTGAGACATGATTTGACTATGTTGTTTTATTTGGTGAGCATGGGGGTTGTCCATGCCACATTTGAATAATTTGTGTTTATTCGTACTGGAGTTGCATTATTGTATCTAGATTTGTCTGGTCTATGTGCTGTAGTTCCATGACTTGATACCCTATTTATGGTGTGAGGTTATTCAATTTTGTTATTTATTGCAGTTTACAAACAGACGATTTTTGAAAAAGATTCACTGAGTTAATATGATAAGATTCATAATTGAAAATTTTAGCTTCCGCATTTATCAGAGTTGCGCTTATTACCATTTATATGTTTAATACACTGGGTGCACACGAGGTGTTATATTTTATGGTATCAAGCACTTTCTATGAAAAAAGCCTGTATATATTAGAATAACTTAAGAAACCTTGTTGTGTGAATTGTCTTGTGAGTTTCTGTTAGGTTTTGCTGTGGTAATGCATGCGTGATCACATTGTGTGGGCCTGATCAACTCATCCTTTGTGTAACATGTGTAAAGTTATGGCACCTATTAGGAGAACTCGGGAGCCAAGCGAGGGTCAGTCTGATCCTATCCTGACTGCATTAGCTGAGATGCAGGCGGCTAGACAAGCAGATCTCGAGGCCACTAGAGTGGCCAACCAGGCTATGATGGTTGCCGTGAGAGAGGCAAATAGGAAAGCCACTGAGGACGTGCTTGAGGCAAATCGACAGGCGAACATGACCATGATGAGGGTCATCTTGGAGGAGATGAGGACTGGTCGTAATGATAGCCAGTTTCCTCCACCGCCACCGCCTCTAACTCATCTCCAGGATGAGAATAGAGGAGAAGGGACACACATTCCTGATGATGACGGTCTGAGCCACATAGAGGGTGTGAGTCACCTTACGGGCATGATACAACCTTACTATAAGCCAGTAAAGGATCAACAGACCATAGATCAGCAGGTTAATGCTTTCCACAAGCATAAGCCACCTTCATTTGATGGATCCTATGATCCAATTGTTGCTGCTAGATGGCTCCAGTCTTTGGACAAGATTTTCAGAGTTATGAGTGCATCGACCCACAGAAGCTATTTATTTGCTACTTATATGCTAGAGGAAGATGCACATGAGTGATGGGTGAACACCTCTCAGGTGTATGAGATGCAGGGCCAGATTATCACTTGGCCATTCTTTGAGGAGCTATTTTTGGGGAATTATTTCCCATATGATGCCATCGAGCGCAAGGAACGAGAGTTTGAGCGCCTAGTACAGGGCTCAATGACTGTGGACGAGTATCTGGCTAAGTTCAATGAGCTAGCCAAATTTGCACATTTTCGTACTGTTAGACATACACCAGAGTTTTTGGCTTCTAAGTTCCGTAAAGTCCTGAATGAGGAGATAACATACAAGATAGCTGGAGCTACACCCAAAGACTTTGGCACATTGATTCAGCAGTGCTATGACATAGAGGATGTGCGTGTGTGGTCAGCAAGGCTAAAAAGGCCAAGGTATCTAAGGATAAGGGAATTAGTGGTTGCTATCATGGGAGGGACAAGAGGTATGATGACAAGGGCAAGGGAAAACAGTTGCAAGCCAGACAGCCGTTCAACAAATTCAAGAGGACTTCTACACCGAAGAGGAGTTTTGCTAGACCTCCTTCTACTCCTAGATGTGCACGATACGGGAAAGAGCATGTGGGACGTTATGCCACTGGTGAGCTGTTATGTTACAAGTGTGGGAAGAATGGCCATCTGGCCAAGGATTGCTAGGCATTAGTTGCTCGGGTTGCAGTTGACCAAGCTACACCACTTCAAACGATTTTAGTACCCTATACCGCACCACCTGGTGCACCACCAGCCATGGGCCGAGTGTATACCTTAGACCGCCAGCAGTCAGATAGAGCTTTGAACCTTGTGAGAGGTGCTCTTTCTATTGGTGGTTGTGATGTAAATGTGTTGTTTGATTCTGGGGCTACACATTCCTTCCTTGCAGACCCAATTGCTGTGGGGCTTAAGTTGCCCATTTCTGTGCTTTCTCCACCTTTACGTGTTACTATTGCCACTAGGGCGAAATGTGACGCTTCATCTATTTATCGGGATGTGGTATTTCTATTAGACGATCGAGATTATTTGGCAGATCTCATTTGTCTACCCATGGTCAACCTTGAGATCATTTTGGGTATGGATTGGCTGTTCAGAAATTGTGTGATGATTGATTACTGTGCAAAGAAAGTGGTGATGTCTCCTTGTGATTCCCCTACCAGTTCTTCTCTTTATTTATCAGTGCTTCAAGATAGAAAGGCCTTAAGAGCATAAGTATATGGCTATGTTATATTGGGAGGTTGGTGAGTGGGACACAAGAGGATATTATCGGCATTCTTGTGGTGAGAGAATTCGTTAAGGTGTTTCCTGAGGAGATTCTTGAGTTTCCGCCACGGCGGGTGATAGAGTTCTCTATTGATCTTTTGCTTGGTGTGGGGCCTATTTCTTTAGCTCCATACCAAATTCCCCCACCTGAGTTAGCGAAATTAAAGAAGCATATTGAGGATCTTTCCGCGAAGAACTTCATCCGACCTAGTGTGTCTCCATGGGGAGCACCGATCATCTTTGTCAAGAAGAAAGATGAGAGCATGCGATTGTGCACCGATTACAGGCAGTTGAACAAAGTGACGATCAAGAACAAGTATCCCCTCCCACGTATTGATGATCTTTTGGATCAGCTTAGGGGTGCTTGCGTGTACTCAAAGACTGATCTTTGGTCTGGATACCATTAGATCTGGGTTAAGCCGAAGGATATTCCCAAGACCGCGTTTCGTTCGAGATACGGTCATTATGAGTATTTGGTGATCCCGTTTGGTCTCACCAATGCTCCGACAGTATTCATGGATTACACAAATCATATTTTCCAGCCGTACTTGGATAATTTTGTGATTGTCTTCTGTTGCGTAAAATCGGGAACTGTACCGTTCGTTCCAAGTAATAAAAGGATGAGTAGAGTATCATCTCCACGAGGATTGAGGCACCAAAATTATTATAACTATTCCTCTCTTGTTGGATTATTAAAATGGGTTTAAGAACAATTGTAGGTTGTGAAAATTGAGAATAATTCAAAGATTCTTTTTAAAACTTGAAAACAACAGATTAAGATTGAGAAAATATTTAAGAGAATTATTGCGGTAAAGTGACGCCAACACCTTTATGATCCCGACCTTGCAATCTGAATTAATGTTTACATTTAATTTAGAGTAAACACCATTTTTGGTCCCTAACAAAAAACACGGTCCCCACTTTAGTCCCTTACAAAAATAAATTAGTCAGTTTGTCCCTAACAAATTCAAAGTGGACCCATTTTAGTCCTTTTGAGGGACTAATATGGGTCTTTTTTGAATTTATTAGAGACCACGATTTCAACTAAATGGGTCCACTTTGCATTTGTTAGGGACTAACTGACTAGTTTATTTTTGTAAGGGACTAAAATGGGGACCGTGTTTTTTGTTAGGGACCAAAAAGGGTATTTACTCTTTAATTTAACCATTGATCAAACAATTCACCATCTTTTAATTGATTAGTTAAGCCCTAATTCCTTAGTAACCTTAACTTTATTAACCCTATTAGAATCCTAATCTCTTAGAAATCCCTTTTTAGGTTAAACTTTTGAACCAGTGAATCCTTAACGTCTGCGGTTCATGTAGCCTATCCCTAGTGCATACATGAACAATTACTTTCCTTTTTGTCTGGAATTAGAATCCCAATATCCCTATTGAAAATCCTAACCCTCGCAATCTCGATAGAGTGATCAATTCTAGAAGAATTAAAAGATGAAGAACAAAGGAAAATAAATTCAATTGGAATAAACAAATATAAAATTTAATCAAACTACAAGGGGTTCACATTAAGGCTTGTTATCCTTACCACAATAATAAAAGACTAGCCAGACATATTCATGTCTGACAATTCAATAAATAGAAAAGAGTTCATAAAAGGATAAAACCGGAGAAAGAGAAGAAAAATTCTTGAATCTTTCAATCGCCAAGAGTTGCTCTCCGATCTTTGCCTTCGTAATTCTCTCCATGCAAAAGTTGTTACTTTCTTTGGTTTTTGACTCTTTTTTATAACCAGCAATCCAATTAGGTCATAATCTCATGAGATAATTGATTAAATTTCCATTTTTATCAAATCCCATAAAATCAGGCTGCATTCGCAACGTCCACGCGATCAGCACCAATTTCGCGCAATCCACGCGGACGATTAGTTGAAGATCCCTGTACTTGGTGCGATCAGCGTGAGTTTCACGCTAGTTGCATAAAAATTCAGTAGGTTGGCTCTATTTGTCTTCAACCGTGGCGTTATTAGCATGAAAATCACGTTATTAGCGTGAAGTTCCTTAGTTTTCATGCTATTAGCATGAAATTCACGCCATTTGCGTGAACAGGCAGTGGACATGGCTCTTTCTGGCGCAATCAGCATGATTATCACGCTATTCGCGTGAAACTATTGTTTGTAAAAATCTTCTTTCCATGCTTTCCTCCTGCAAAAATATAGAATCATAGTGGAAGTGTGTCTGAAGATGGATTATCAATAATTCATTAAAAATAATACTTTTTATCACTGAATTACTGTTAAATCCTTATTCTCTTTACTCTCAAATACCTATATGCCGAAGGTACATCAAACAATTCTCAGATTTAGAAAATTGTTGTCCTCAGCAATAATTAAGATCAAATATTAGGCAACAAATATTAACTCTATGAGAAGAATTTATGTCACTAATGCACCTTTCTACATTGAAGAATTTTAGAGTTATAATGCCAGGCATGAATGAATTCCGAGTTGAGAATTTCAAGAACTACCTTTGTACCAGGAATTAGAATCTAGCTCAATTACTCCTTACCAAGATAATCACTGCACTCATCACTCTGGTGTATTGGGTTTAAACTCTCAATCCGTCAGTGCAATAAGACTACCATAGGTTTGATCCTATTCTCAAATTCCTAAAGATGAGGAACGTATAAAACATGCACAATTAGATCCAAAGGTCTTTGCAAGGTTATAACTTGGCTCAGGTTAGGGTAGGAATATTTGGACAGTGGCTGATTTTCATTATATCTGAGATTGAAGCACAATTATTTGTTTTCAGTTGTTCACACTCAACACAATCTCATTTAGTCTTATCCTTTCTATTCAGACTCTCCCTTTTCTTTCCTGTATCCCATTCCTGACAACAATTATTTTTTAAATAAGATTGCTATGCAACTTTTCATTGTATTCTTTCTTTCTTCGTCCAAAGCATTTGCTTCTACAATTACTTAACTTTTGTGAACTTTTTCCTGAATTCTACAATCATTGCTTCAATCTCATTCAAGGTAGGTCGACAGGAGAAGAAGTCAAGTGTCTTATGGTTGAATTTAATAAGAAACAACAAGCTAAAGCTCAAAGGGGCTAGCAATGGAAATTTTTCAGGATAACTATTTGGCCAAGTAGTTAGCAAGAAAGAATTGCCTTTATCATTTCAGATCATGTGTGTATTACAGAGAAACAAATCAAGTTCTAGAGTATTATCACAGTGAGGTCTCTCTAAAAAAAAATTACTGTATAGCCTCAAACCTCACGGCTGCGCAATCAAACTAGAATCTAAATTCCACTTATCATCACATATCAACTGTAACTCTCAACAAAGAATTCAATCAAACGAGCAATAATAACTCTTATACTTCAATGCATGACTCATAACATTTATCCATTATGACTTCTCACACAGTAAATTTAATGCTCTCTAAGATTTAATCATGTTATTGCATGAATAGGTAATGCAGATCCAGGTATGTTGCTCAGAGACTTTCTTCTATCTAAACAAAAATAACAATAGAAAATGAGACAAAAGGTTTAGATATCACCCCTGATTCAGAAATTTTTTTTGTTAGAGGTCTTTTTTGTCTGGTTCCTCTGTACCGCATGTGGTGCACCCAATTCCCAGATTTAGAAAATTGTTGTCCCCAGCAATAAAACTAAACTAGTCGATGAATAAGAACTTCTGCGCAGGTAACACACTCACACTGGTTAAAACATCAATTCAACATAACTGAAAAGACAACTAAACATCATAACATCTTGTCTCAACACAAAATAGAAATATAAAAACATAACCAAAATAACAAATAACTAAAGATAAATGGTGAGCATGGTGATCAGTCATCCAGCCACGACTCGTCCATGTCATCCCCTCCCGCAACCTGTGGTGTCTCTGTAGGCTCTGTTGCTGGCTCAGTAGGGACTATGGTCTCAATGGGCTCCTCAGGAGCTGGTGGTGGTGGAAAATGTGGCTGAAAAGCAGATGTATCCACTCCAGTGACTTGACAGATGCCCTCTAGCATGTTGTCCAGTAGTCACCCTGTATGCTCAAACGGTCAAGTTGTCCCTGCATGTTCTGGATTTTTTCATTCATGGTTAGAATAACAGGGGAATCTGCATAAAGATGTTGGGGTGGTGCTGGTCTCTGAGGTGCTGTGGATGTGGTGGCTTGATTTGCTGCTGATGGCGTAGCCTGTGGTGCTACAAAAACAGAAGCGTAGGGAAGGATATGCTCAAGATGGGGACCATAAGGTGCACGAGGCCAACTGCACGGACTCTTCGTAAGGATGGCAGAAGGTGATAACATTGTAGCTCTAATCATTTCCTTGTTGCGTGGATCAACAAGCATATCACAGTATGTATCATATGTCATGCGAGTAGCCACCTTTACATCTAGATTCTTTTCTGGTGGTATCTCAACTCCTGCTTGAATACACAAGTGCATTATCAGAGATGAGTGAGCTAGCATGTGGTCACCTCTAGCAGCTGTAATGACATGTAGGATCCTATCAGACAGGATCTGAGATATATCCAGGTTCTGGTCACTCATCAGCACATAAAGTAGTGTGGCTTTCTCCACATTCACATCTGTGAGATTAGTAGATGCTATCACTGTGGAGTTAATGAACTGATGCCAAAACACAGCTTCACCAGACAAATCATGCTTTTCCAACTTTTCTAGCACATGATCTAGACCTGGTTTTGTTGCCCATGCAGTGTACAATCCAATAATCCCTCTTCTCACTCTTTCTGCCACCTCTGGCATGTCTTCCCTGTACAAGCTTCTTGTGGTTGTGGGTTGGAGTTGATTGTATGTTGTTCAGAACTTGCACCCTTCTAGTCTGTCATAAGAGGTCTTCAAGAAAGCCTCTATGTCTTCAGCTGCAAATGGAACTTCTTTCCCTCTCACCCAACTTACTCGGATGGTCTCAACTTTCTCTTTATCCACATTAGCACAGAATTCCTTC